GTTATGACAAGATTCCAAACTGAGTGATGGCATGATTTCCTCAATACAATTTTCATCAATAAGCTGGTACACTAAGCAAACATCTGGGTATCCACTGAATGACATAAATCATATATAAATATGAGTATAAACGGAGTTTAAAACATGAGCCTATGAACTGCAAGATTTTTTAAACATGGTCTCAAATTTTGTAAGTATGGATTTTTTTATTATTTATACAAGACTTTCTGCACAGACAACACTTTAAGTGGTGGCTTCTACATTGCATGGAATACAGCTGTGGAGTTGAAATTTTGTATTTATAATTCCCAATTTTAAAATAGTCAAGCACAGCCATAAAATGGCTAAAGTAAAATATATTTTTATATGACAATGTTGTCAAATACCTCAAACCATACACAATAAGATTATATGATGAATGAATCATGAATTGGGATGACTGTGCAAGAGTGGTCTTGGCCTAATATAAGGCTGGCTTCTGGCTAGAGGGACCTCGGATCAGTTGGTCTCCAGACTGACAGACCACTTGAATACAATGGAGTGCTCACCACTAAGCTGCAGCAATCTGCAATATGTACTTCTGGAAGGATTCTGTCTCTTATACCTCATACTAATAATTTACAATAACAAATGGAAGGTCATCAAATTACCTATTTTTGAAGCAATTTGTGAGAAGTTCCCCTTTTGACATGTTGTACAACCAGTTGAGTTTTCGTCCACTGTGCTGGCCACTATAGAATGTCGTAAACCTGTGAACGCTTCGCTCCAACTGCCAGTAACAACACAAGAAATACGTTTAGGTGCCCAAGAAACCTTTAACAAAAGGTTTACAAAGATTTTGTCTTAAAATTATCAATCCATGCAACAATACAGGAAACAATAGAAATGAAATAGGTTACATTGTTTGTATCTGATACTGGGTTTAAGACCACAAAAGGATATTAGACATTGTTATAATCACATATCAAATATTCCTGAGACACTTCAACAACTACGCATTTACATGATCCCAAATTGCTGGACGTTATAAAAGATTTTATTGGTATACACAACGTTTTTTTCTCTAAAGTAGTGACCATGAAACTTGGGTCAGCCTATTAACCTTTATAGTATGTGAATAGGAAATCAAAATCTCCATACTATGGTGCTGTTAGCCAGACTTTTAACTCCACAGTTAATTGTTTAGAGGCATGCTAATGCAATGCACAGCCAGATGTAATGAGCATAAGCCACGATACACATTTGATAAAGGATAACAAGGGAAACCAGTCAATTGTTACCCTCCAATTTAGCTCTCGTTTTACAGTATGGCAGGAGACCATCCTAAAACTTCCTGGCCAAAACATTACTCCATGTTCTTCACTGTAAATCCAAAATTGAAAGCGAAGAATATACCATTCAATTCCTAGCAGGTCAATTTGGAGCTCAAATATTTTCCAAAAGTGTTATTTTTAATCTTACATACCTCATTAGCTTTGATGTTCCATTACTGCTAATCCAAATCTTGTAGAGGAAGCAATTAAAATGTATTTATCCTTTTTACCATTAAATGTTCAACACCACCAACTTAAACTTTGTACAAGATAGGTCTCTGAAGTAGGTTAATTTCTTTACTTCAACAGTTTTTGTTATTTACTGTTTGGTCACTACATCCTATCACCATTCACAATACAAAATTTTAAATTTTGGACATTACATACGTACTGAATCAACTTTCATTCCCTTTCAATAAAATTTCACTTACGTTGCCAAAATAAATTTTTACATAAACATAAAACTATGTATTTCCTTCAACAGAAAGAAAAAAAGAACAAATAAACACGAATCCAGTCCTGTTAAGAAATGTTTCAGATCAGAATGAGACCTACATTTTATTTTATATATCAATGTTTATGTTAACTGTTTGTAAGATAACAGACAGTGCTATTTGTGGTTTATGTAAAGGATTTAAATCTGACCAAATTAATTTATCTGCACAACTTTTAGTTTTGATCCCAAATATCAAATTTCATTACAATGAATTCAAGTGTTGATGGATGTATAAACACTGCCTCCCTATTATGCACCCACTTTATATATTCTTTTCATAAAAAATGCATATAATTCTAGTCTGTAGTAAGATTTATGGTTCTCATAGCAGTGAGTATGATGATGGCTGTCTTCTGAGCTGTTGCACTGTAAAGTTTACTAACATTTCAGAGGTACTTTGCATCTCCATCATCATGACAAGTACCTCTGAAATGTCTGTAAACCTCTACCAGACTACATGGCACAACACCCTAGAAAACAGCCATTTCTTAAAATTTGTAGAATTCAATCAGCAGTAAATGGGTTAAAAAGTGTTATAACGAGAGTGCACTTTCTCACACAAGGGGGACAAAGACAGTTCAATGACACATGTAAGGCAAAGACACAAATGCGGTGTTTGTGCATCCATATGCAAAACCCACTGCCATTACAATTTTATTATTTAACAAGAAATGTTCTACTTGCACTGGGACTTCCAGTAAACATAGTATCAGAGCTATGCACACCTCTGTGGGTAGAGAGAATGTGAAGGACTGCTGGAATGGCCAAGATCCTGAGGAGAGAACCTGTATGCTAAAGTCTATGTCAAGAGGTTCATTTGAGTTTGTGAGGTGTATCCGGAACTGCTCATTCAAGTCCTTAGACACACCAATATCCTGCAACAGACACAGGACGCCTTGTTAATAAGTGCCAAGCAATCTTACCTTAGACAACGGCTGGGCGGAGCATATGTGCTGCAAGAAAACTTGATGTAAGGCTATCATGTATCACAAGGTTGCAGGATTACTGCAGGTACTCTGTGGAGTCATGTCATGATACAGTGGAAGAAAGTTGTTCGTAAAGGTAAAAATAAGTGAATATGAGTAATGTGTTACGTCGATTACAATCTCAATGTTGCAATGGTTATCACAAGAGCACATACCATGAACCTCAATAACGCAAGGTTGGGTTTATCTTCAAAAACAGCACTCCCTCCCATGTTGGGGGTTTCTGCTGTATATTAAAAAACATCAGTATGTTCTAGTCTTATATAATTAGAATGTAACTGTTATGGCATTATTATCCATTAGTCAAGGCCAAATGTCCAGTGCCTCTGCCACGTTACACAATACAATAAATAAAATACCTTATTTCAACAAAACACTGTCTGGGAACAAAATAGCACAATCTGATGACAATCTGAACCAGTAGTTCAAAATATACTACAATTTATCAGAATTTGCTGTTACAAATATCTTTGCAGAATGTACCATAATGGTGAAACAGGATCACACAAGAAATGACAGAATATTACTTTGGAATTATGTTACCATTCAACACAAAGTCTAACCTAAGTTCCTACAAAATTGGGGGGGGGGGGGGGGGCCCCCCCCCCATCAGTTTGGGAATGTCACAAGGCATCCACCTATATTTATGGCTAATTTAACAATGCTGTCAACAATGCAGGCTATGTGGCATTGAATAACAGGATGATTCAATAATTCATAAGGATATGGAAGAAAATGTGGTCATTGCCTAATTTGAGGTACTGTTCAGACATCTGCCTGGAATGACTAAGGAAAATAAAGAAAAACCAACGGATAGCTAATTCTGGGGCCAAGACTTGAGCATAGGACCCTGCGAATACAAAGCAGGAGTGCTAACCACTTGGTCGCAGTGCTCAACATTCACTCCATGCCATGCTATAGGCCAACAAAAAGAACATCTCACTGAAAGGAAAATATCATTCAAGGTAGAAGCACTTTCACAGTATGGAAGAATATATTTAGTGCTTGCCAATTAAAAGGCTCAAAGTTATAAAATGCTAATAGACCACATTTTCATCTTACCCTTACAATATTTATCTATTTCACTTCATACAGAGCTAGACCTTCTTTGTATTATCCCTTATATTAAACAAGGCCCACATACCTGCACGCATGCATGCACACACAAGCATATAATGTCTATTTGTATGAAATATTACAAACCTGGAACATTCGCTGAAGTTTAGATGTGTACTCAAAGCCACAAGCTTGCTTCAGCTTTGAGATCATAGATGCTTCAGCATCATCACTGGCTGACATATGCTGGACTAACCGCTTTGCCAGCATTTTACTATAGAACTTCTGGAACACATCTTTGTCTTCAATGTACTTGAAAACAACCATCTACACAGAAAAGAGTCTGCATTTTAAGATACTGAAGAACTGATGTATCCCAATACATTGAGAAGTTTCATCTAATAATCTCCAATTCTGAAACTTTCATCTATCACAATTTCACATATTCTTATTATGGTTTTAGTGAAAGGCCCATAAAAAGTATACAATTTTACATTCCTGAAAATTTCCATTTATTATTCACTTTAAGGTTCAGCAAAGAAAAAAATTACTTCTATTTACATTTAAACAGATCAATAAAAATAGTCCAGATCTTCAAAGTCTGTTTTCATTTAAGGTACTGACACTTTCAATAACTGGTAATGTGTATTGGTAGGAGCATTCATAGATAGCATTATCAGAGTCTTGTGCACAGCATTACAGTGTTGCATGTAAGTTCTTGCAATTGTGTTAATCAGATTCAGAGTTTGGTAGTGACAACAGATTGAACGACTGCATTCTCAATGTAAATGTAAATGGTGACACTGATGAAGATGACAATATTATTCAGGATTTTGGTTGGAGGACATAAATAATCATGAGGGACAAAGAAAAAAATTCACAGGTAGTGTTAAACCCCGAGCTGCTGAAAACATGTAACAGAAATTGCAGATATTTTCCAGTTGCTTTTCAATGAAACATTTCATTTAAGCTACACTAAATTTGGAAATTTATTTTCTTTAATCTTAAAACCTTGCATACCATGTAGTGTACTGGAACAGTAATTTGGACACTGTTAAAAAAATACACAGAAATGGAATATCAGTACCAAACTATTTAAATTACTGTTGGCACAGTAATCTTGTAAAATGCATGAAGGAACAGCATTTCATAACCATAGCCACGTTGCTTGCTATGGCAATCTTGAAAACATTCCATGTGGAGTGCAGTTTCCTGAAAACCTATTAATGAATCAAGGGTGCATCTTAAAATTGAGGAAATACAGCAATACACTTACAAAAATGGGTTCTGAACCATTGAACGATGAGTATGCAGATGTGTAGCACATCACTGTACCAACTTCAAAGTTCATACTCACAACTTGGTTAAGAGTATCTTCAAGTTCGGCTTCCTCCGGATTTTTACTGCTCTTTTTCAATAAGAGGTCACAGTACTTTGCCAATAACTCTGGTGATTTTGATGAACTGTTGGCCTGTCGTGTCACTGCATTGCTGTTGATGAAACGTCCACATGCCTTATCCAGAGCAGCCACAAATCCAGAGTCGTTGTTGAATGCTGTCAGTACTAATGCATTGTACTTTTTATGAACTTCTAGTATTGTATTGACATAAATTTTGGGGTCCTGGCAATAGAAAAACAAATTCACCAATGACAAACCTATTGCAACAGTTAGAACCCTTCAACTGAAATACAAAACAAAAACAAGGAAATTAAGTAAATTTTAACTTAAAACACTTTCATTGAAAACAATTTCCTGAAATAACTAAAACACACTATATCATTAACTGACCAGTCATAGTTTTTCTTGATTTAAGATACAAAATGCTTCTTCTCCAGAAAACCCATAAATAGAAATTTCACTGTAATTTGTGTTAATACAGATTCAGGAACTGTAACCAAACACCTAGCATCAACAAAACAAGATAAGACACCCCCTTAATGGTCTCTTCTTGTGAGGAGCACACATGATAGAGAATTTTCTGCAAGATATGATGGTCGAGACGGACCACTTGTGTAGCTACCACAGTCCCTGGGTTTAACAGCCCTCGACTCCAAATCTGACAAACTGAAACTGGGAAAAATATAACCATTCTGGCTGTTGACTTCAATCAAATGCTATTTTCAAGAATTAGTTTTATAATGAAAAAAAATTACTAGAGAATGAGTAATTTGTAAAAGCAGGAGAGGCAGAGGAGAAAAACACAAGTTTAGATATTTACTTTTGGCTGTGATCCAGATTTCTCATATACCACCTTTATCACCTGCACTCCAGGGAACAAACAAGGCATTATATTAAAGGTGATGTAAAATGAAGTGAAAATATTGTATGGACTACATTTTAATGTGGGGAGTAGGGGGGAGAGATGGATGGATTTAATTGAAAGTAAGTGTGGCATTTTAACAAAAATTAGTTCTAGAAAATGCTTAATTTTAGGCAAATATTTGAATTAATTCTGCAAATTGTTCATTAAGTTAATAAATGCTATACGTCCTATTTCAGTAATTTGTAAAAGTCTAGTAAAGAAGGTTTGTGCAACCTATTTTAATGTGTTTGCCTTGCAGTTTAAGCAGTTCCATTTAGAACCTTTCTGGCACACTGTTGACTTTGATACTGAAGGGGTCCAAGAACAGCCATAGGTTTGTTTCTTAGCTCTTAAATTCTTGAAATCTATCCCATGAAATTATTATTCACTGAACACAATTATCAGCAAAGGAACTGTAATTAATGCATTACACTGTTAGATAATATTGCAAAATAAAATGTGTTGCAACTCCTAAGCTGAAGTGAAGTTTAATGTTGAAGCTTTGATTTCAGCTCATTCAAGTAGGCTGTTAAATCCACCTGAAAAGCAACTTCACAAACCCAGTCATCACTGATACATTTCATTTCCAGGAACATGATGATTTCACTCCTAAAATTATAAAACTGCTTCAACATGTTTCAGAACCTAGCTTAGATGAAGTTGAACTAGCCATTGGGAAGTTCTTTTCTTTTTCCGGTTTAACAATGTTTGTACATTTTCCGGTACCCTTTACAGGTCCCCAACTTTTCAGTTGGCTTAATCTATGGACATTCGGTAGGACACCTTGGACGAGGGATCGGCCCGTCGCAAGGCCTCTACCTGTACACAGGACAACACAACACATAAAAACATCCATGGCTTGAGTGGGATTCGAACCCACGGTCCCTGCGACCAAGCGGCACAAGCCCATGCCTCAGACCGCACGGCCCCCCCATTGGGAAGTTGAAAACTTATAAATCTCAAGGCACTGATCAGATTCCAGCAGAATTAATTAGAGCAGGTGGCAAAGGGTTGCATATGAGGATCCATAAGCTTATTCAGTTAATTTGGGATAAGGAAGAGATGCCACAATGGAAGGAATCCATAATTATTCCTATTCATAAGAAGGGGGACAAGACTGAGTGTGGTAATTACCAAGGAATTTCTCTGCTATCAACCTCATACAAAATTCTATCCGTTCTTTTGGCAAGATTAACTCCAAATGCGAATGAAATTATTGGGAATCATCAGTGTGGGTTCAGACGAAACAGATCAATGATTGATAAGATCTTTTGCATTCATCAGATACTAGAGAAAAAATGGGAGTTAAGTGGGACCGTACATCAATTATTTATAGATTTCAAAAAAGCCTTTGACTCTGTGAAGAGACAAGTGTGATGTTAATTTATTGGGGGATGATAAAAATACAATAAAGAGGAACGCAGAAGTTTTACTAGAGGCTAGTAGACAGGTGGGCATAAGTATCTGGGGTGGCTAATAAATCCTTTGAAAGTGTTACAGAGTTCAAATATTTGAGAACAACAATAACAAATCAAAATGATACTCATTAGGAAGTTAGGAGGAGACTAAATTCTGGAAATACTTGCTACTTCTCAGTTCAAAATATTTTGTCTTCCAGTCTGATTTCTAGGAACCTGAAAATTAAAGTATACAAAACAATAATGTTGCCTGTTGTTTTGTATGGGTGTGAAACATGGTCTCTCACTCAGAGGGAGGAACACAGATTGCAGGTGTTTGAGAATAGGATGTTAAGGATATTTGGGCCTAAGAGAGAAGACGAAGGGGCATGGAGAAAACTGCATAATGATGAGCTTAAAAATCTGTACTCCTCCCCCAATATTGTCAGGGTGATTAAGTCGAGAAGAATGAGATGGGTGGGGCATGCAGCGCACATGGATGGGACAAGAGGTGTGCACCAGGTGTTGGTTGGGAAGCCTGAGGGGAAGAGACCGCTGGGGAGACCTAGACATAGATGGGAGGATAATGTCAGGTGGGATCTATGGGAGATAAGAGTTGAAGGACACTGGATTTTGTTGGTCCAGGACAGGGTGATGAACCTTCAGGTTTGGTAAGCCATCTAGTTAGTTAGTTACATACTGAACTTCACACAAATACATAATTTCCCATAGTCCACTAAGTACCTTCAAGAAATTCATGGAACTGGCAGTGATAAAATACTCTTGATTTTAAGAAAATTTTGTGCAAGTAACAAATTTACTCCATATGAACCCAAAATCATATAATTAAACTTGGCTCTTATTTCTATAATCCAATCCTGCTTCCAAACATTGCAGGTGATAAATCTGATTGTCAAAACTAAGATGACATTTTGACATTAAGCATTCCACTTTTTAAAGATATCCTCTCCTGTAACAGTGTCCTTCATTGACTGAATACCAAGCACTCCTGGTACCTGACACATCGATACTTTCATCAATGGCTAAGAAACTGTCATATTGAGAATTCTGGATGAGAAATGTCTTTCCATTTTTATATTCCTTCATGACTGCTACCGATTTCTTACAAATCAGACACACACAGGATAAAAAAAGTTAGCTCACTTCTTAAAACACTCTACCAGTGGTATCAACTCTTCTCTTCTTAGAAGTCACTTCAAATAAAGCTGTTTAAGAGTAAAAAGTATACTAACAATGCAAAAGTGAAACACTTTAACATCAACTACAACTACCAACATGAACCTTGCTCAACAACATACCCTGCAAAAATTCTCTACCACTGGGCACAAAGAAAATCACCAGTCAACAGGAAAACCCACAAACCACAACTGAAACATCTGATGAACACAAATTATGGCACTGCAGCCACAGCAACACGCTTTGTACATTAAATGTGTAAGCAAGGCTCATTCACAACAATTACAACTTCTTCCTCATCCCATTTATAGTCACTTATATCAAATATATTATAGGCTGTGAATAAAATATTATGTTTAAAACTTTACAAGGGCTGGTTAAAAATCAATGGTAGGCTGTCGTTATCCACGCCAGTTCTAACATATGCACCATGATTTTCCAAAAACTTTGCTACTGCAAACCAAATGGTCGTGTTAAGGTATATACCTCCTAACAGAGGAGTACATTTTAATTCTTGTGGGATTCCTTTTCCCTCTACAAAAAAGGATAGCACCCTAGCCGGGTCATTTTAATCGGAAGACCAAGTTTGTTTCTAGTATCAGTTACAAATGATAACAATGTTCTTTCACAAAAGACTACATTTCAAAATCATGTACAAATTAAGCAATCATTTTCATGTATATTATCCACATACATACATACATACATACACACACATATATGTATGCATGCATGCATGTACTGTATATGATAATTAAGTAAATACTTGTGAGATAGGTGACCTGATAGGCAAGTGACGATGTGTGCAAGCACATCTCCCATATTCTTCAGTGAAGAACAATGGTCTTAATACAAAGATATTTCATACACATGACTGTTGCTTTCTGTGGATCCACTGTTCATAGTATTGTTATTCATTTATTTGGTTTGTTATTACTGTTATTATTTTATAACAGATGTAGTGTTATAAAGCATTACCCATAAAAGTTCACGTCAAATTGTAACAAGTCCTATTTTCAGTATGCAACTTCCCCAAGTTGCATGTGTCACAGGTATTTACTCGACTCTCACATACAGTATGTGTGTTAGCTTGATATTAAGTGTTTATGAACTGAATAATAAAAAGCATTTGCAGAATTTCTTCCTCCGAGTTATGCAATGAACCTCATTTGAATTGAATGTATATGTTTAATGTTACATTTTGAAAGTCTCAAAAAGATTTACTACTTACGGATATATTACGACTTTGTTGCTTCTTCCAGCTTTAGTTCATGCTTATATACTTATTACCAATATTTCACACATGTAACGACAAATGGTGACAAACCAACTGAACATGAATAACAAAAGTAAACTTGTAAAAGGAGGCAAGAACCAAAATTAAACTCACATTGTTAGCAGAATCACCACATTTGTCAATGGCAGCAAGTCCCTGTGAGGCAATGTGGCTCTCTAGCAGATTTCTCAGCTCACCAAGACCATCAGGAATACGAGCAACGAGTTGGTACATGCGTCCAAGATCTTCATTCTTGTCTGCATCAAGGAGGTTCTGGAACTCTGCATGGAAAATTTCCAGATGCTTTTCAATTAGCACTTTCTCGCACGTCTTAGCCAGCCTGTCCAACGTTGTCTCATGCAGGTACACTTGAACTCGCTTGTGTTCCTCAAGTAAACGTTGCTCTGCCTGAAACAGAAAGTATACTCTTTGAATCATATGGCACAGACAGGCCAAAATAAAATAGTTATAATAAGCATGGCCAGTGGCCCATTTAAGAGTGTCTGTTTCAGTACACTTGCTCAGTCTTAGTATCTGCAAACATTGGCCAGTCAAAAACCCCTTATTTACATGTTTCTGGAATCTTGAAACGTTGCATACCGAGTAGTGTCTTAGAATATAAAATAAGTAAACAAACAACTATTAACACTACAAAAAGACACTAGTGCCAAACGCGTTTCAACCTCAAGAGGTCATCATCAGTAACACCCACGCTTCGTTGGAATTCACAGGTACGGACGATGCAACCACGGCTCGCCGCAGACCAGCTACAGCCACCAGACCATTGGATCAATAGCTAAGTGCAGAGTTCAACTCCTGTGAAACCAACATCTGGTGTAGTGATGCTTGATATGCTTTTGTAAAATACTCTACTTCATGATTTGTTTTCTAAACCATTCTGATTAAATTAATTAATTTACCTGTTGCCACTGATGATGACCTCTTGAGGTTGAAATGCATTTGGCACTAGTGTCTTTTTTATAGTGTTAATAGTTTCTTTGTTTGCTTATTTTATGTTTCTGGAAGTTATTAAAAATTATGAAAACTGCATAAAATGATATATCACAAGTTTAGTACATACAAAACCAGTGAAATGGCATGAAAATTAATGGGACTTAAACCACAATATTACCTTCTTCATATATTCTGTGACAGGATTCTGTCGAAGGAACTCCGTGCTCTCACGTGTGTAGAACCTCTCTGTATCCTCCAGGAACACATTTTCAAATGACTCCTTGTACACTGACAGGTTCTGTCCCTTAGCACCAGGATCCTCTTCATTCAGTCCTGCCAAATGCAAAAGTGTCAAAAGCCACACAACCTAACCACGGAAAGTCCCACATATCGAAACATGCCATTGAGGACAGCAAATGTCAAAGTACAGAAACAAGCAGGCACGTATGTACAACTCCACTCCAATAAGTGAAACAGAAGAGCAATCTACTGTTTGAGATAGTTAAGTAAATACCTGTAATGTATGCAGCCTCGGAAGTAACGTGCTGCTGCAATACAAGTATACTGAAAATGTCCTGATTTGATGTAAATTTTATGTGGATAGAATAACACTACAGCTACTATAAAACAATAAAAAAACAAATAAATGAATAGCAACACAACAAAGAGAGAAACAGAGGAAAGCGACAAAGATGTGTGGGAAATAGCTCTGAACTACAGACCAAAGTTCTCCACCCAGGAAAAGGAGGATTATGCATGTGCACATCATCACTTGCCTACTGAAACACCTATACCACAAGTATTCACTTCATTCTAATAGAAAGTAAATGCTATGTATATTGCACCTACCATATACATCCTACTTTGGGAAGGGAAACATTCAATAACAACTTGATTATAACAGGGTTTATTTACATCCATCACAATTTTATGTTCAAAAATGCAATGTTCACAAAACTATAATACAGAACACAGTTTACTGAAATACATCAGTACGTACATACTGCTGCTCATAACTGATACTGTACTGGTGATGTGACACCCTTAACCCCTTCTTTGGACATTAATACTCATTGTTAGACTTTTCTTGACATTGATTCTAAATATTGCATTTGCAAACATACCAAGTTCAACATAGCAGTTGATCACTCCACTCACAAGTCTTGTATTGATAGTTTCACCATTCCTTTCACGCTCTATAAGCTTCAGAACTGCATTTGTCACCTGCAACATGGCAACTATCAAGTTTACATTTGTGCACGTAGCACTAAGACACAAACATCTCCATCACAATATTATAAGCTCATTTCATAAACACAACTGTAAAGGAATGACAAACAAAATCATGTCTCTTCCAAGTTACTACCAAACTGAATGAGTCAGCTGGAACTAAGGAGGGAACAAACAAACACGTATGAAAATGCCTAATAATGAATAAGAATGGTTTAGTTGTATGAATCACAAATAAGCAAGATACTTATCACTTGCATTAAAGGGTTTCTGGAGTCTGTACATCACCCACCATTCTGAAGAAAACATAACAATTTGGAAAATAGATATATTTCTATTCTCAAGCGAATGTGTCAATGTTAACTTTAATATAATTTTCTATTTCCATTTTATTTGCCAAGCCTGCAAACATGAACTGTCATATTACTGTTAAGATCCAAGTACCAGAAAATTCAATGAAGTTTGCTCTAAAAACCACTCTGGTATTATCAGAACATGAAGGTTCAGTGTTAATATCAAAGCAACCATTTGACATACCCCAAGCTAGTTCAACACAGTTCTCATCTTTTATGTAGATGGAAATTCAGTATTATTTTCATGAACACTTCACACTCTCTTCTGTCTTATATCTCTTTGTTGCTAAATTCTTCCTTTTCTTCAATTAATATTACTATAGAACTACCTCTTTCTGCATGTATCAAAATCAGCATTTTTATAGACACAAAATTTGAGATTTGAAAGCCATGACCTAAATCACAATATAGATCACGGCTACCAACAGAGATGCCGAGTTGGAAATGATTTCATAGTTTACCTATACAAAACGTAGTAGACAGATGAGAGATGGAGACAAATGTATAATTAGTAATTTATAATTTATACCTTCTTAAATAAAATATTTTATGATTATATATGTTATCCCAATAGAAGTATCAGACATGCTAATAATGTAAACCTGTTTATTGAGCTGCTTAAATAAGTTATCCCGCCATGTCACCAAGGCTAGCTGGTATATCTCATAGATTCCTTTGCGACCCTCTTCACACTCTCTCCGTACCCAGTGCCTGAAATATAAGTATATGAAAGAAATAAAAATCAGCTTGAACAGAATGCGTCCTATAACTATCTATGACAATGATGTACACGTTAAATCTAAGAAATTTCTCAATAAACCAACTGGCACAAGTTGCATGTAAAATTACATTCTTACCTTATAAACACATGAATATGATTTCAAAATATAAGTGTGCAGCCATCATTAGTGGGTAAAAATATCTTCAGAACAAAATGAAGATGGAGAAGAGGAGGAGAGAATGTGTTTTGACACAATTATTTTTGTGCAAGATGGTAAACAAGCACTGAACAAAGATTTCTTAAAGTGCACAAAGAAAAATTGTCAGCATTTAAAATTATGTCACTTAACTTAGAAAACAACACTTGTACATTCTGTACGGTTCTGACAATGGTATGATATAGTCGGAGTTACCGGGTTTTTGGACTTTGTCCATTATTCAAGGTTAAAATGCACATGACATTTTAAAAACAGGATCTGTTTTTGTCTTCAGGCGTATGCGACAGGGGCACCTACTCTGTTGCGTCTGATAGTCATTGACATTCACACACTTTCTATTATTATTGTGTTTATTTCTATTGTATCTCATCGACAAAACCTGACCTCGGGCGTTTTTACTTGTGTTACGGTTTTGACCCGGGTTGTCCAATGATTGAGTGGACCCAACAGAGTAGGTGCCCCTGCCCCATATACCTGAAGACAAAAACAGATCCAACTTTCGAAACGTCGTGTGAATTTTAACCTTGGACGTTGGATAAAGTCAAAAAACCCAGTAACTCTGAATGCTTGTACATGCTTTCCCAAATTGTAAATGGAACCCCTATATATTTTGAAATGCCATTAGATACAAAAGCTATCAAGAAGGTGGGGTAACATGACTGAAGAAGTTAAAAAAGAGACCAAAACTTAGTACAACTGATCAGGTTATGATACCTTTTTGATCAAAGACAACCATTAGATGTACACATTAATTCCCCATTTAAAGTTTCACTTAAACAGCTATACACTGAATGGATGGCATCTGGAGACCATCCACTGATATCTACACGAGAAGTGAAACAATCCAACATTCAACAACTACATTAATGGATCAAGTGCACCTGGGATTGGACACAAGATGCTTTTGTTGTTTGAAGATTTGTAAGTGTAAAATTTTAAACAGTTTAGACAGCTGTAGTGAAACATACCAGTAATTGCATGCATACTTGTTAAGCTTTCTAGAGTGGGACAAGCCACATTACAATAATATATTACTTTTAAGTCTTTAGTAGTATTTTTGCTAAATATATTTTCAAAAACACTATGAAAAGTTTGGGAGCATAGCATACACATATATACAGCACTTCAATTCCTGAAATCTTGTAGTGTATGGTAACCAAATCACATCTGTTAACAATAAATATAAGGCTAGAAGAGCTGCAAGCTGGAAGAGCATTCTCACTTGAACGGTGACGGTCTCCAGTGACAAAAAATGTCATAGTAGAAAATGTGACTACTTCTCACCTGTTGAGGTAAGCACAGACACCATTAAGCACCTTTGAACTAAACTGATACTCCTCCCACTGTCTTGTGTAGAACTGGAGAACATCTTCATCCATCAGGTCAATACCATCCTGCAAATATAACAAAATGCATACCATTAATTATAGCAGTCCTAAAAGGATAGCAAGTTCTTCATGTGGCCAATTAAAATAAGTACTTCTTTCACATGCTTCATTCTATGTGACAAGGCTAGTAAGAACTGGAAATTTGTTACTGTACAATTTAGTGAGCATTTGTGTGCCTACTACTGATAATTCCAAATAAGTTAAATGTCACATAACCTCAAAGTTTTCCATAACCATGTTTGTAATGCTACCAATTAAATAGTGGTTTAGACACAATCTATAGATATGTATATAACATACACGTGTGTGCACATGCATACAAAATTTTATATATCTGATATAAGACTAGAAAACTTGTTGTGCCCATTATTTCTCAGACTTAAAATATATTCTCCTTGAGTCCCAATATAACCAATCCACTTTACAATAATCTAGGATATGTACAAAGCATATTATATCTTTTATTGTACTAAGGGTAATGAAGTCTTCTGAGGTGATCAGTCATGTGAGTACAGACACCAAATCCAACATTTTGGAAACTGTTTCCACCATCAGAGTTAATGTGATGAGTGACACAACTGCCTGTTGTATATGAACCCACAACTATCTCTCTCCGAGACCTATGTCCTTGTCCATGAGTGAGCCAACAGCTGGCAAGTCCTAGCAGATACAGTGAAGATTGTTCTTTCATATATATCACAATTATGATTGTATTCATTTCAGTTCTTTTCCAAAATTGTCTACTAAGCTAGTTTCATTGTAGTGTGATGTTGTGCCAAGCATTAAAGTTTCACATCTGTGATTATTACTTGGTGTGATATGGTTTATGATGTGACTAAAGACAAGTAAACAGGTTGTTTTAGAGAAAAATGACCAAATGTATGAAAGTGATAATGTGGATGACAGAATCATCAGATGACTGTGAATGCATAGAATCAAACACTCACAAAGAAAATGCACCATTGCACCCACTGTGTGCATATTAAGAGTGATCACTCACTCAAGTGTAAAATAATGAAGCAGGGAGAATAAAGTGCTGAGACAACAGAAGAGGTAAGAAAGATCTTCAGATAATAAGGAAGCTACTAGATAAATAAAGGGAAGTGAAGTGGATTCATAATCTAGTTAGGTAAACAAGTAAAGAAAATATGTGAAGCAACTGGAGGGGGGAGGGGGGGGGGTTTCCAAACACAATGTGAAACCATGTGATGGGTGAATTATTTTCCAGGAAAACTGGAGATGAAATACTTTATAAAACTTTGGCCCACAGAATGTATATAAGAGAACTGGATAGTGATTTACAAAGGAAGAATGTGGAATATAATTTAAAAAAAGAATAACAAACCCTTAGGACTTTATGGGATACCAGCAGAAATGTGGAAAATGTTTTGTACTATGAAAGTTGGGGGGGGCTGATATTTAAAAAATATATGTTTAATAAAATAATGAGGAGAAAAAATATCCTGTCAACT